CCCCCACCAATCAATCAATCAACGGAAAAACAAAACAAAAAAAAACCACGTTTTTTATTTTTTTTTCAATTTCTTTCGATTTCGCCCATACACCCCCATCCAAAAGTTGATATTTTTCGTTTTTTTTTGTGTGTGGGGGGGTGGGGCCGGGGATGCGCCGCCACGTGGCGTCTCCCATTTTTTGAAAGTCGCTCCTGCGCGGCCGCCACGTGGCTTCAAAACCGAGCGTCCGCGCGGACGCGTCCGCGGGGTTTGCGGACTGGCCGCGTCCGCGAATTCGGCCGCGGATGGCCGCCGCCGAGGGTGTTTCATAGCGTGCTCCTCCTTAACGGCCTTCGTTTTCGCCTGCCTGAGGAGCTCCTTCTTCTCTTTTCTCTCTCTCAAAGTGGCGGCGATCCGGGCCTGCTCGGCTTTGGATTGGGGGGCAGTGCTCTTCTCACTACGGATGTCAACCATGGTGATTGGTGCACAACCAGACAATGGTTCCACTCCTCACCACTTAGACTCTAACCCCTGACTGACACGAAACCTACTGACTCAATTCTAAAGGACCATAGAATCTTGGACAAGATTCTCTCAACTGGGGTCACTAGCCTGACCTAAACTATGGTTGTCACTACAGGACTTCACTGCTGATCAGGAAGCATTTAAGAAGATCCCCCATAACTCCTCAGGAATTCTTTAACATCGCAAATAGGACGACGCGATCAGCAAGTCCTCTCAAGACGTAGACGGCATGTTGTTCAGCCCACAACTCGGATTTTGGGCCTACCGTGCCACACCGAGCAGCCCGCCGGTCAGTACCACTGTACCGGTCCTTGGGAGGGTTCGTGTCTTCCGGGACAATCGAGCCGTCAGACATAGTCTTTAGCTCTATTCAGCCCGTGTGGGTTTGGTCAACAAGGCCCTATCCTTCATCCACAAAGTTCCTATCACCTGGAAAGAAGAGACTCAATGCAGAAAGAAGAGACAGACAAACTTGACTCAGAAAGTACCATAGGGTGTGTGCACATCCATAGGGTGAGGGGACAGGCTGAAGGCTTGGCGAGATTATACCAGCTCCAGCTTGGTCAAATTCGTGATCAACAGTCTTGGTCAACGCTTGGTCAACGCTTGGTCAATGCTTTGTCAACATTCTGGTCAACCTCCCAGTCAACTCCCGGACAACTCCTGTCAACCCCAGTCAACACCCGGTCAACTCTCCTAGTCAACACCCGTCAACCCCAGTCAACACCCAGTCAACGCCAACGCCCGTCAGCTCCGACTATGGCTGTCGGCTTCTCTCTCCCTCACCAACATTCTCTTTCCTTTCTTTAGTCTCCCCGTCCGTCTCTCTCACATCCTCCTTCTTCGTCACTTTGTGGTTCGGGCTCCGCGGCTATGGCCGCCTTCTACTTCGTGGACCACACAACGATCTTGTATCGCTCAACCTCTCTCCCTCTCTCTCTCTATCTTCGTAACGATACGAATAGTATGGCAGGAGCTCCTTTCCCTCCTCACTCGCATTGCGCACTGCACGTAGAACCTGACCGCAGCAGGGAGGCTGTCCTCAGAGTTATCCATGGGGATCGTCTCAAAACACCTTGTGATGTCGGCGGTGAACACGGAGTAAACCTTTTCTGGAAGGTTAGCGCAGAACTCCCCCACTGAGGCTATTGCCCACCACAGGTTGGGTCTGACCCCATGCTGCTCCTCCACCTCCATGCTCCTCTCCTGGCAAAAAGTTTGCACCAAGGGGAGAAGGAATCGCAGAACGCACGCGCACACCTCCGCTGCAGGTGAGATAATCGTGTTGGTTGTGTTCGCTATCCAGCGGAATGACCCCTTGTGTGCCTTCAGCACCGTCATGAGATATGGGAGCGTAGCCGGGGCTATCGGTAGTGCGGGTAAGGCGGAGAGTTCTCCACGTATGCGCGAGATGACAACCGCAGGTGTGGCACCGATGCATGCGAACTCCGGGCCAGACAGTCTTTGGAAAGCGAGCTTTCGGATGAAGTTCTTGCAGACGAAAGCTGGGGTGTTGGGCGCCTTGTCCGTTGGGCAGATGAGGAATCTGCCCGTGATGAAATCCAGCTCCCTTTTCACGGCTAGGTGCTCGAATGGTTCCGCGACCGCATGCCTATGTGCATTCTTGTACTTGCCCATCCTCGCCCTCCCCTTCTTCATGATAATCCGCTTCAAGAAGGATTTGGTGGAGTCCAAAAGGTCCCGCAACTCCATCACCCTCCCGAAAAGATCGTCCAACAGGCGATCCAGCTCCATAGCCGCCTCTTCTACGTCCAGGGCCATGATCGGGATATGATTGAGRCCCACGTTAATGACACCCTGCAACAACGGATTGTCCGTAACCGAGGAGTCCAAAGTAATGACATGCGTGCATCCTTCGTTCTGGAGTAGGTGGATTGACCAATCGTTGCGCAAATCCGAGTATCTTTGAGTCMTGCATGGRCACKGCTCCGGGTCGTACCTATCCATCCSMTGAGAGACGTCAAAATCGCAAAAAACTTCCGCAGGCCTGCATAGCTTAGATGCGATGCTGGGGTTGTAGGTCCAGCCGATTCTGATGCGCTCTAGCCAGCCGAACGCGTCATCCCCTATCACCCAGCTGAGCACCTCATCCACCATCTTCCTAATGAACAGCGGTTCCATCACACGGCTGGTGTACTTCAGATGTAGAAAAGCATCACATTCGGGCTTCTGTCTCTCCCATGCCCTTCTGCCGCTTGGTAGGGTGACCATTTGTCCTCGGGCGCTCAGCCACCTATTTGGATCCTGCGCTTACAGGCACAGAACGGGATGAAAAAAACGAGAAGAAGCATGCAAGAGGAACGATTGATAATGAAGAACGAGAGAAAGATTCAAGGGAATACAGAAGGATGAGGAGAATGA